AATCACCCTGTGACTGACAATCGCGATGCTCTATCTGACGGCGTTGAAAAGGGATCTGGATAGAGTATCGATCATTTGCTAGAGCGATTCCGATGCGACAAGGAGACAGCACTGTGGCATCTCCAAAGACTTGTGAAGATCCGAAAATATAGAGTTTGGTCCCCACGTGCCTTGAGCCCGATTCAGCTCCAAACACGATCTGACACCGTTATGTTCAAGTCGACTTACTAGGGATTCTACGATTGACCATCCATCACATTTGCCGAAGATGAGGAGTGGGTACAGTTTGCTAACAAATGAACAAGCGGCGGTAGTCCAGCTCAAACGCTTCGGGAGATCTTATTGCTTAAGTTCAACCTCGTCCAAGTAGGGCCTTCTCGGATTTTTGGTGGAACACGGGAGGAGTTAAGCTCTGGAAACCCCTCCGTGTAGATGTCGCAGTCAACGCGAAAGTCAACTATCCACAGCTCGAATGCAACGCTTTTAATACGAAAGAAAAACAAGGCAAAGTTTGCTTTTGTATGACACCGTTGAAAAACCTCTTGCTAAGAAAATTCAGGAAAATTTCGAGACTCTGGGACGGAGAGTTCTTCCGTATTCACGTTATAGCCCTGACCTCGAGGCAAATAATGCCCTTCTGCTCCCCTCTCCAAACCATCTCCTAGAGAAGAAAGCTCATCCTAACTATGATGATGTCAAAATCGACATCTGATCTTTCTTCGATCAGAATTCAGTAGAGTCCTACAAGGGAGGCATCGAGCAGCTACTAGTGTGTTGGCAATAGGTTGTAGATATTGATGGAGGGTAGCATGCCGGATGAATGGAACAAAAAGATAATAAAAATATTAACACTTTGGAGACCGCGCGTGTTTTACGTTCCGCGGCCGCGCGGGACTTCGGTGAAATTTTTAGGGATCTTATCTAGCAAATTCAAAAGAAGAACCCACTGTATAATGCAGAAGAAATCTTATCGGATAAAATGGAAAAGAAAATGAATGAAAAACCTAATAATTGTTTCGAAATGCGAGCTGAAAGGTCCTATGCGGTCGGAGGACTGCAGCCCACATATGGGCTGCGTGGGCTCCAAGGTGTTAAATTCCAAATTCGGCCAGTACGTTGCAAGACTTATGGAGCGACCTAATATTCTTGTCGGCCACAAGGGACCTTGCAGCCCACATGTGGGCTGCACAGTGAAGATCGATTTTTTTGTTTGTTTTTGTTTTATATGATTCGCCTTCAAGTGTAAAGGATAGACATAAACTAAGTGAATTCACAAACGAAGTGGTTCGAGAATAGAAGCTACACTAGCAAATTCATGAGAAAAAACAGTAAGTATGTATTTGTCCTTTTTCAAGTAAGTTGCAATTAGTTGCTATAACATTTAGAAACTTGTATGACTTTCCCTAATTACACAGCCTATGGAACCTACACTGCGTTTAATAATGATACAGCCACCTAAAATTTGCTCGAAAACCTTAAAGTACATAGAGTTTCTGAAAAACTGTTCAGATGGAAAATGTGGCAAATTTTATGGCGAGTTCAGATATCAACATAAATATCCACGTCGAAAGCAATAAAAAATTTT